TAAAGGATATAACAGTAAAAAGAAGTCCTGAGCTCTAGTACACTGCTGGTGGGAAAGCAGACTGGTGCAGCCACTATGGAAAACAATATGGTGTTACCAAAATATTAAAAATTGAATGGCTATTTGACCACGTGATCCCACTTTTAGGAATATACCCTAAGAACTGAAACACCAATCAGAAATAATATATGTACCCCCATGTTTGTAGCAGCACTATTTACAATAGCTAAGATCTGGAAACAGCCCAAATGTCCATCAGTAGACAAATGGATAAAAAAGCAGTGGTACATATACACAATGGAGTACTATGCAGCTGTAAGAAAGAAAGATCTCTTATCCTTTGAGATGACATGGAGGGACCTGGAAAGTATTATCCTAAGTGAAACAAGCCAAACAGAGAAAGACAAGTATCATATGATCTCACTTATTTGTGGAATATAGTGAACATAACAGCCTGAGGAATGGGGTAGTCCCAGAGACGTGGAAGTAGAGTACAGACTGACAATCTCCAGAAGAGGGTGTTGAGGGGGAGAGATAAACCACAGAACTTACGTGCATATATGCATGAACAATGGACATGGACAACAACTCTGGGGACAGGGTGGGGAGGGACGGGAATCAGTGGGGGGGGGGGGAGAAACATCTGTGACAAAAATAAATTAATTAATTTAAAAAATTAAGAAAAAGAAATCCTGAGGTCCAGTGGGTAATATAAAATGCAGACTAATGTCTAAACAGTGTCTAAGCAACACTGCAACTGCCAATTTTAAGCACCGACAGTTAAGTCACTTGGCTGCAGAAATGCTCTCCTCCTTCCTCCTCCCCTCTGATACACCTGTGTTCTTTTTCGCTCATAATACATTTTTTTCCTCAAATGCTGGCCTGCCATAGGCCAAAAATCTGCGGTGAGAGATTACTGTGTTAGAATGCCATTTTTCAATCTTAAACTTGAATTAGCCTTTATATTTACAAAATCAGGACCTGGCATGCTAAATCTACAAAAGCTAAAGGGCTACTTAAGAGAGAATGTAATGCTGCAAAGAGCTTGACTTCCTTATTCCATTATGATCTGCTTACTGAGTCTAAAAGGCACATGCTTCATTAAGCTACTTAAAGGTTTTAGTTCAAAGCAATTGCACAGCTTTTAACTTCCTATTGGAAATTACATGAAATTCATGAGCTGGGTAAAGTAATATTTCAATTACCTGAGTAAAATGAAAATATAAGAAATTAAGATATAACCACCTGATAATAATTCTGCTGATGATTATTTTGATGACAATATATAATGAGAAGCTGAACACCATTTTTGCCTCTAGCTTCTAGTTAAACTAGGAAAGTTTAAAATAAAATGCTGGGAAATGTTCATATTCACCAGTATACCAGTATAATATTAAATATATATGCTTTGAGAAATATTAAAACTTAAGAAAACTGTAAATTGTTAAATCTTAACAATTTATTTGAAACTGAAGAGTACCTATGAATACCCTACAATGATATAATTTTGTTGTCTTGATAAGTACCTTGGACATGTGCTATCATTTTGAGGTTCTATTTGACAGCACCTCCATAAATAAGGAAAACACCTTTTTACATTCTTTTAATAATGGTTAATAATAAACAGTAAGAAATAAAAAAGCTTTAAGTTAATAACTGTTTTCCATTAACAGTTCACCCCAAACTCATTATCAAAATGTCTCTCTTAAATTATGTATACGTGACTATGCAAAATTGAATTGAAAAGTAGTGCTCAGTGAATTTGTCCTTTTGTTTCCATGGAAACAGTTGCTGGGTTGCTTCTCTTTAAGACTGGTTTTAAAGTGGAAAACTACCATACCTTAATATCCCAGAAAATTCAAAACTTATGTTATAGATTTTTAATTTGTTGGATTTTTCAACAGCAGTTCATAGCATGCCTATATACTTTTATTTCTACTGAGTTTCTTGATTTTCTCTTGCCATTTGCCTATCTAGAATGGCTTCAGAATAAAGGTCTTTCCTTATTTGATTTTGCATCCTTAGCATATAAATAGGTTCCAGCTCCAGCCCTTATTTAATAAAAGCCTTTTGAATAAATAACATATAATTAATATAATCTATTTTCTCCTTCTAGTTATAAGAAAATGTGATCTTTAGTGTCAGACTAAATTCACACATTTGAATTCTGACTTCAGCAGTTAGCTAGTTCTATGACCCATAGGTCAACCTCATACATTTTCTACATGTCAGTTTACATATTAAATAGGGGATAATAACAAAACCTAAGTCATGTGGTTATCATTTTAAATTATATAATTGAAATAAAGCATTTAGAATAACATTTGACATAATAAGAAATCAATAAATGGTATCAATGATAATTATAACTATACTGGTGGTGCTACTACTTCTGGCCAGGCACGGTGCTAGATGCTCTGTGTCCTCAATCATCACTATAACCCTGTCTGATTATCTTCATGCTGCTGACCAGTACCAGAGAGGACACCTAGCGTCATTCAAGTTGAAAACTGTGAGGTCAGAATTGAAACCCTCCTCTGCTTGATTCCAAGGCTTGGGATTTTTTTAATACTGCCTCTTCTGGATATGTTTAAAAAAAATCCAGAAAGGCACAATCTCACTGTTTAAAAGTTTTTCAGACTATTTCTATAAATTAAAATATGGTCACCTGATCCATTGCAGAAGAAAACTAATTCAAAATAAGCAGGTTGTACAAAGAAATTTGATCACACAATGCTCTATTTTTACTTTTTCAGGAAGTCAATTAATTAGGTTTCCTTGATGTAGTGCAGGAAAGCATAAAATTGGATTTTAACATGGAAGTAAACATCTAGGTCCCATTTCAGAGCCCTGCATCTTTCTCTGGGGTCACCAGGTGGCCTCAGAGAATTCCCAAAATGTCCTCTTTACTCACATCTGTCATGTTATATGCCCTGGTCAAATCTCCTTTAAAAAAAATTAATCAATGTTTTCTTGTCAGCTGGGTCCATTGACTACAATGGGAGAAATACTCTACTACAAGAATAAAAAAAACTCACTTTTTCTAAGGGTGCAGGCAGGCTCATGATTGTTCAAACAAACTTTTCAGTAAAGAAATGAGAGTATTTGCTATTTTACTGAGGATCTCTAGTAGAACCAGATTATAATAACTAGCATGCAAACACTGTTTGAGTATAAAGGCACACTCATTTATTTCATGTATTGAAAATAAATCCCTGTGACAATGGTGCCAACACGGGATATTACATATTTGAAAATAATTGCAGTGCACCCCCCCCCTAATAAAAACAAACAAAAAAAGTAAATAAAACACGGAGGCATAGGACTAATAAATGACTGAAGTTACACTCAGAAAGTGGTACATTCAGTGTTATTACATACAAATCATTGTATTACGTTACTCATATTAACGTTAAATATGTGCAAACTGAAAGATTCTCTAGAGAGAAATTTAGATGGCTAATGGCTAATGAGGTGGCGATTTGTCAAATAGTACACAGATGTGGCACAAAAAAAACAACCTTTTATAACAATCCAGCTAAGGCCCATTCAGTTTGAGTCTTTTTTTCCCTTTAACTATTTTCTAGTTAGTCACAAGTAAATTATATGTATATATTGCAGAGTGGATAAAGTTATAGATTTTTTTTGCAAGTAAACCAAAAAAAAAAAAAAAATAGGTCAAATTCTATAAATTTTCAGATATCCTAACATTATGACCTATAAAAATGGCAATTTCAAGTAAAGAACAAAATTAATAATTATTTTCCAAATGCCTTATATGATTACTGTTGAAATGGTTTAGTTACAATCAATATTAATTTGGTTTAAATTTCCAAACCTAATCCCCATTAAGGTGGAAATTACCAATAAGGAGGATATAATTACTAAAGCAATCATTCTTATTTTGAGCAATTAAATATATATTATGAATATGTGTTTATATAGTTATGATGAAGCCAATATATATAATATACATAAATATATTATATATAAAATAAAGATTTTATATATTTTGAAAAATAATGGTTCTTAGTGGGTCCAAAAAGTCAGTACGATTTTAATAATAATACCAAAATATTACCTGCAGTTTTCACTCTCACTTCTCATGAATGTACAAGGAGTCGTCCAGAGACTACATGGTATGTGATATTATAGTAGACTGAATACCAAGACAAGGACTAAGGACTCAGCTACCTTCTATTAGGCCAGACATTAATGAAGCTTATACAACTATAACTAATGCTATTCTTACCATTTGATTTTGCTTTGGGGATTGGAAAAGACTAACCAAAGAATTTATATGTATAACCCATGGACACAGAAAATAGTTTGTTGAAGACTGGTGGTAGGCAGGAGCAGGGTGGAGGGGATCAATGGGGAGAAAAGGTGGGGACATCTGTAATACTTTCAACAATAAAGATAAATTAAAACGAATAAATTAATTAAAAATATGTATTCTTTTTAAAGAAACTTACTTGTATTAGCATGTAATAAATTATTACATTATCTTAATGAATTAATAAATAGGTTTTAAGGTTATCAGTTTTAGTTTCAATATGATAAATATTCAGTTATTTAATATTTACAAAACATAAAACATCTTTAGTGTTTACAATCAATTTTAAGAGTGTAAGATTTACTTGAAACCTATATAATCTTATTAACCAATATCAACCCAATAAATTTAATTTAAAAAAATTAAATGTTTAATTAAAAACAAACAAACAAAAAAAATAAGTGTAAGGTCCATAGGATCAAAATGTTTTGGAGCTATTGGTGAAGAAAAAATAAATTATTATTTATTAAGTCTTAAACTATCCCCATACTTTTACAAATCCCAATGACAAAGACCTTGAAACATATAAGAAGCCATTTAAAATAGATCTATTTAAATATTCGTAAAACATTTCATTCATAACATAAAAAAAATACTGAACTCCTTAGAAATTGCTCTATTTTCAAAATATATTTATAACTTAACCAAAATAAATAATTCATACCTCACCAAGTGAGTAATAACGTCTTGGGATCTGGGAGTCCGGATAGATGTTCTCAAGGTACCAAGAAAAAGGCTTACACTTCAGATTTTCTCTTAGTGTTTTTCTGACTGACACATCTCCATAATCCACTTTGACAACACCTGGAATTTTTCAGAGAAACACAAATCAGTTTGTGCTATTTTAGGTTCAGCACTGTTTCACTCTGTTTAATTTGTGATCAGTTTTTTCTCTACAATTATGATTTCATCAAATGCAATTGCATGTGCAGCTGCTACTACACTGATTTTCTTACTAACATCCAATTAGTACATTAAATTGACATAAAAAATAGTTTTCCCATTGGTTATGACTTTTCAAATGCAAATATTTATCACCAAGTACTTGTACTTCATAGATTGAATAATTAATCAACTAAGTGTAAATTGCTATTAATTTAGCATCTTGCAATCAAAGCTTAACTGAGCTGTGTGATAATGTGGTTGTTTTTCTTCAATAAAATTTCAACAGCTCCAATGCCTTTATTAATACTCAGATTTCCCTACAGTGTCATTTTTTCACCATCTGCAGATTCCATGAGATTTTTACTATATAAATATGATCTTCAACAATGTACGGCATATATATGTTCTAACTTTCCCTTCTTCTTGAACTTTTATTCTATCTAGGCTTACCATAGACCCTATTTTTTCTTTATTGGTTGCTTTCTTGTTTTATTTTTAGAGTTAATATAAGCCATTTGAAATCCTTGGATAAGTCAGAAAATAAATAAGCATAAAGAAACTAACAAACAAATAAAATATACTCAAGGTGTATATTAAATACTTAGCTTTACTACATATTATAACAGAATATATGAAATTCAAATTAATATTTCCATTGAAGATAATAGGGGAAGTCTTTCTAGTTGAGAAATAAAAATAGTGCCCCTAATCTTTATATAAAATGACAGTGACATGATTTGCTCATCATCAATATTAAAAATGACATTTGACCAAAATGACTAAATAACTGATAATATTACAATTATGTCTAAGATTATTTTGAAGGTCTCTATTTAACAGGTTTCTTTAAGACCAGTAAGCAAATAGACTTTAGCTTGGAACAAATGGCCCAGCATTTACTATATTCTATTCCAACCAAGCGGTAAAGCCCATCAATAATTCTGTAAAATACGAAAGAACTGTTTAGACAACCTGAAATGTCTGCAACTAATGCCATTATTTGGTTTACTAGACTCAAAAGCAGGAACACTCTTGAAACTCATCGCCTGCTAACTTCACCCTCCTTTCACTGCCCCTTCAGGATTTTTGTTTCACAAAATGAACTGTCCTTGTGTTCTGAGAAAGCATTCTGGTGGTGCTTACGGGTCAAACCATTTCCTTTTAGAAAATACTGACTTTTCTAGCTGGTGTTTGGAGAGAAAACAACGAGGTCTCTGAGCATTTTAAACAGATAAATAATTGCTATCAAAATAATTTTATCCAGAGTCTATGTTCTGGAGTTTAACCTTAAAAAAAAAAAAAAAAAGTTTTGAAAACAAACATTTATGAAATAGATCATTAAAATATCTATTTTAAAAAAAATATATTTTTATTGATTTGAAAGAGAGAAGAAGGGACAAAGAGAGAAAGAGAAATATCAATCTGCTGCCTCGTGGCAAATCCCCTGCTAGAGATGGAGCTCATAACCTGGGCATCCAGAAATCGACCAGAGCTCAGTGTGTGGGACAATGCTCAGCCAACTGAGCCATGCTAGGTAGGGCTAAAAGATTATCTCTTTGTGTTATGTGCTATGACAACTGAAATCACTTAAATGATAGTCTTCAAAGTCATAGAAAGAGATGTTTTTGGGCCCAGGGAGAAAAGGGTACTGTAGCTTCAGAGGATTTGGTTCAACAGTCAGTTTCGCTGTTGTGGTTTCATGCTGCTATCGCTCAGGTCAAATTCTGAGTAACACCCAAGACCATCAGAACATTCCATTTTTCAACCTTACATCCAATCCATCATCATGATTGCCTCAGGAATGGCTATGAGAACAAGCCAGCCTAATAAACGTGTACTGGGAATTTGCTAGTGGAAGTTGACATCCTCCTTCGGAATTGCTTGTTATATAGGTGCATTAAGCCTGGAGCTTCTGGGGTTACCATGCAGAGAATTCCTACGAAGTGATGCCAATGTGGTAGTAAAATAAACATATGGAAAGAGGGCAAAAGAGAAAAAAGAAAAAGAAAAAAAGAGAGTAGAGGCTAAGGAGTAACATAAGCAGACAGAAAAAGAAAGAGAAAACAAAAAAGTGAACAGAGGCCGAACCAAGATTGAGTCAGCAGATGCTTATTTATTTTATTCCAACTACATATAAGGGTGTGTTTTCTAGGCACTTAGGATCCATCACTGAACAAAACAAATAAAAGTATCTTCTTCTACGGCGTTTACATCCTAGTGGAGGAAGACAAATAAACTGTAACACATCAAAAGGTGATACATGCCATGAGATAGGAAGGGTGCAATACAAGAATTCAATGCATTTTTACATTTTTCCCCAAAGGCAACTTAAAGAATTGCAAGTTTTTAAGGTAAATCTTTCAATGGAACTTGCATAAACCTGGAAAGGCTTTGACAATAAGAAAATGATGCCTTATGAGTTAGACAAAAAAAAAAAAAAAGAGCATTTAATGAAGTAAATGATCACCCTGGCTAGTTTGGCTCATTGGTTAAAGTGTCAGCCTGCAGTCCAGAGAGGCCCAGGTTTGGTTCCCGCAGTACGCTGGTTGCAGTGTGTCCCAGGCCCTGGTTAGGTCGGGCGGGTGGCAGCCACTCGATGTGTCCCTTTCACGTGGATGTTTCTCTTTCTCTCTCTCTCTGTGTCTCTCTCCCCCACACCCTATCTGAACAAAAAAATGTAAAAATGTCCTTGGGTGAAGATAAAAAAAAAGACGTAAATGATAATACTTGCGAGTTATTATACTTTTATTAAATAACCTGTCCTTTATTCATAATTTTAAAGTCTGCTTCATAGTAGCATTAAACTTAGATATGTAAGACATTCACATTTAAAATTTTTTAAATAGATAATAGATTAAAGATGATAATGATCTAAGTTAAATTCTTCCGTAGTAGAGGCCTAATAAGCCTAATTGTTTTGGTTCTCCTATAATCAAGGTGTTTGATAACAGAATAGCTGGATTATAAGATAAAGCTTTGAGTTTTATCCATAGGAATATGTACTGCAGTGAGCTTACAGAAAAGGGGAAATGATAGTCTTTCAACAGGGAATGCTTAAGTGTATCAATGTTATATTTATCTAATTGACATAATATGTCATATATTGAAACAATTATGTTTATATAAGAATATAAAAATATTAATAAAATATAAAACCATTTTATTGTACTGTTATTATAACAAAGTAATATAAAAATATATTGCACAAAAATTTTTAAAAAATTGAGAAAAATATAAAACTGCACATTCCCTTTGCTAACTAAAATACAGAGCAAGAACTTAATACATATATTTTTCCTTAAGCCCAACAGTTAAAACTGTGAAGCTAATCATAAAGTTTTTTACATACAATGATATATTAACAATATATTTATATATTTTGATAGACCAGTATTCATAGTTTCAGCTAAGATTTTTTAGTGTGTGATATTTTTTAAATTTCCTATAACAGAAAATATACCTCTTTATTTTGTTATTCACTTTGAACACTTGTCATTGGAAACTTTATGAATAAGAATTTGCATGCCTTTTTTCTTAAAAATAATAATAAAAAGAGAAATCATTTTTAAGCTAGCTAGAGACTTTGTGTTCTAGAGTATATAAAAATAAAAAATAGATTGTGTCAGAGGTTTAGCAAATAAATTACTTGGAATACTTTTTTATTACTTAAAACTACTCTTTTAATGCATCATTTAAATTTTCACCCATTCTTGATATGCACAAAAATTATCCAGACTCATAATTACTCATTAAAAAATCACTCGATGAATCTACATTAACAGGCTGATGGCCCATGTCAGCTATTAATACATAGTGATTATCTGTTGAATTTAGCATTTACTATTATGACTTCAATTTTATTTTAATGGAATAAAATTGAGATTATGAATAGTACAAAGATCATAGCTGAGTTACATAGAAGCAAAGATCAGGAAACTTCTCAATTTATTTAATTCTGTCTGAATTCTAAAGTCAAGTTTGGGCAGGTTTTGAGGCTAAATTTTCCAATTGGCTTAAACTTCAGTTCAATTTGACAATAAAAATCTCATATTGAACTACTTGGTTTCAGATGAACAAGAATATGGGAAATAAGAAAAGTGAGCCTTTGCAATTGCCTTTTAAAATAAAGGTCAATTTGATATCAGATGAAACAAACCAACTATAAAATCTACAATCTCTTAGAAAAAAAAATCCAACTAAGGGCCTTCAAGGCAGTGTTTACCACCCTTCAGAAACTACAGCAGAGTATATAATTACCTGCTCCTTAATTCATATAGTTTATAGATAATGCAAAAGAGGTATTGACCAAATGAGACCACTACTGATCTACCTTGTGCATTTTGTTTTTCATCCCCCCATAGTAAGAAAAAATTTACATATACTTTATATGTTTCTCTTTTAAAAGTTTTTCACAGTAATTTGACAATTATATATTCATTGCAGATCATTCTAAAACAGCTAAATATGAAAAGTAATATAAAAATCATCTGTGCCTTGACCAGGTAGCTCAGTTGGTTAGAATCATCGCAATATGCCAAAGTTGTGAGTTTGATCCCCAGTCAGGGCACATACAAGAAACAACCAATGAATGCATAAATAAGTGAAACAACAAATTAATGTTTCTCTCTCTCTCTTCCCCTCTCTCTCTAAAAATCAATAAAAACACTTCTAAAAGTCATCTGTAATACAGCTATATTTACATGGTGGTAATGATTTTTCTAGACTTCTTTCTATTTTATATATAATTATATAGATACAATTTTTCTTGCAAAGATTTATTTATACTGTAATATGCACTAGTAACTTGCTTTATTCCTAAAGGAATATGCCATTAACATTTTTCAGGTCAATTGAATTCTTCTGCAACTTTCTTTCCAGTGCTCCTGTAGCATTCTACTTTAAATGTTGGTAATTTAAAT